CCCTGCCACCGATTCCCACGGGCTCCCAGGCTGGAAACAGCATCTCTTGGGCTCAGAGAGTCCCAACTCAGCATCAAATCCCCAAAACCAACCCTCACAGGAACCCTGGGATCCAGGCCATCAGCACCGCCCCCCTGCCTCTTTTCAGATTCAAACTGTGCCAAGAGTTCGATCCCTCTGCTAACCGCATTGATGGGGATCAGGAGGGTTCAGATCATCACCCTCCCCTGGCAGAGGCTGTGACGCAGGTCACGGATTGCCCAGCATGTGCCCAGCATGTGCCCTCGGGTTCCATCCTCATCCCAGGCCAGGACCTTGAGCCATTCCTGCCCCCCAGGACATCTCTAGTGCTCATCAGCGACCTTTGCTTTGGTGACAAGCTGGAAATCTCTCTAAGGGTCCTGCGACGGGGTACAGCAGTCACAGAGGGCTCTGTCCCTGGGTCTAGCTTGTGTGTGTGCTGGAATCAAGATGAGCCTGCTGTGGCTCACTTATCTACCGTAGACAGGAAACCTGCTGTGTCACCCAGCTGGAGTCAGAGGCTTGCTCTTGTAAGTGATTTCATGCTTCTTTGCCTCCTCCATTGAAGGTTCTAGAACATAATTAAGCTTGCCTTGGGGGTGCAGGGTCATTATTTAGAATTTCAGTTACTTGTCTCCGGAGCTGTCCTGCGTGACTCCAGCTCTGTCCTAGCTGTGTGACTTCCAGCAGGAGCATTACCCTCTCTGTGCTTCCACCTTCTTGGTCGTCCCTCTACTGCTTACACTTTATATGTGTTGTGCATGTATGTGAATGGGCACGCATGCGCATGACAAACATGAAGGTCAGAGGAGAACTTGCAGGAATTGGTTCTTTGTTTCTACTATGTGGTTACCTGGGATTGAATGTAGTCAGGCTTAATGGCAGGAGCTCAGCCTCAGCAGGCCCTTTCATGCATGTGTGCGTGTGCATATGGGAGAGAGAGAGAGAGAGAGAGAGAGAGAGAGAGCATTTCACTATGTATCCCTCTCTGGCTGTCCTGGTTTAAAACTCTCGCTCTGTAGACTAAGCTGGCTTTGAACTCACAGAGATCCGCCAACCTCTATCTCCTGACTGCTGAACCCCGGTCTGTGTAAAATAAACAGAAGGCCAGTGCCCACCTCACTGGATTGTCGATAGGGTTAAATGAAACATAGACATCAAGATAGCCCTGTGGAGATGCACAGTGGCTAAAAGCGCTTGCCGTGCAAGCGTTGAGGACCACAGTGTGAATTCCCAGAATCCACGTCAGAACTGGATACTCAGTGAGAGCAGCTGTCGTCCCCGGTTTTGTTCCTACAGCAAGGAAGGAAGCTACAGGTCGGTCCTCGGAGTTTCAGGGCCGGCCAACTGGGCCTGCACAGCAGTGAGCAGCAGAGACTGTCTCAGCAAGGTGTAACTAATACCGTGGTTGCCCTGTGCCTTCCACAAGCATGCCCACCTTCACACATGCACACACACATACCTTTAAAAAAATCGGTAGGCACGTTACATACAGCCTTGGTTTTTGTTTATTTGTTTGGTTGATTTTTTGAGGCAGGGTTTCTCTGTGTAACAGTCCTGGCTGTCCTAGAACTTGCTCTGTAGACCAGGCTTGCCTGGAAATCACAGAGATCCGCCTGCCTCTGCCTCGCGAGTGCTGGGATTAAAGACGTGTGCCACCACCGCCCGGCCATTCATAGACAGATGACAGTTGGTTATTGACACCCTGCAAATGGTAGCCATGGTTTTTCTCGTTCTATTGCTAGCGATGAGCCCAGGACAAACATTGTACCCCTGAGCCACACTCGGGGGTTATATTTACTTGCAATGTAAAGTTTCTGCCGCCTCCCTGGTCTTCCAAAGCCCTCAAGGTTCTTCAAAAGGCAGCATAAGCCTTCGCTCCTGGGCTCTGCTGTTGGGTTCTTTCCTATGTGGACTTGGTTTAGGGTCAGCTTGAGTGTGTCCCACTCACAAGGCCCCATAGAGTCAGGACTGGGCCTCTGATTGCTTCGCAGGGGCTGTCCCCAGGGCTCCCCTAAGCAGACTGTGGTTCCCTGAAGCTACCATGAGAAAACATCGATTCCAGCTTCTCAGTTACTCAGGCAGCCACGCTTAACCCAGAAGCCGTACAATTTCCTCTTTTTCTTTATTTTTTGGGGGGGAATCTATCTGGAACTCACTTTGTAGACCAGGCTGACCTCAAACTCACATCTCTGCCTCCCAAGTCCTGAGATGAAAGGTTTTGCCACCACTGCCTGGACCTAATTCTTTTTTGAACCTTCAGATTTTACTCTGGTTCCCCCAGTTCTGGGAGGAATCCACTAGGACCCAAGGCTTCCTCCTGCCCAGGAGGTGGGATGGGGCAGTGTTCCTTCCCTTTGGCAAGGGGTAGGTTTAGAACTTTGAGTGCATGTGTCCTGGTGACTTAGAAGCCTGGGGAATTTTCTGGGTGGGTCAAAGTCCTGAACGAACCAGGTTGTACCCTTGCAGATGGGGCAGGCAGGTTAACTGCCCCAGGCTTCCACTTCCACTTTGCATGAGAAAACATGAGTTTCTCATGTGGAGGTCAGAAGGGTCAAGGGTGAAGTGGCACCCTTGGGAATGCTTGGTTTCTTCCATTCCCTTGTTCTTTCTGAAGCTTTCTGAAGCTCCAGGATCCTGGACCCTGCTAGGTCTGGACCCCTATCCTTCTCCCCCTTAGGTGGATAGGGATGAAGGCCCTCCTGCCCCAGCCATGGTGTGCAGCAGGCTCTTCTGTCCTGGTGACCTGCTTGCACAAGCCCAGAGGGCACAGACCCCAGATGATCTTGTGTAGCCAAGGCTAGCCTGGAACTACTATCCTGCCTCAGCCTCTCAAATGCTGTCAAATGCTGGCCTTGCAAGCCGTGCTGCCACACTGCACCATGCCGAAATCAGCCTGCCCTGAAGCAAGCAGGGAAGTGAGTCTATGAGAGGCACTTGGCTGTCCCGCAGGGGCCATCAAAGATGGGGGCATCAGAGCTGCATGTGAGGCCTGGTTCCGGTGTTTGACTGTCTGCTCCCCAGCCACCACCTGCCATCCTGTGCAGGGTACCACCCTTCCACCCCCAGCTTCCTCATTTAGAAAAGGCAAATGGTTGTCAGCTGACTGGTGGGACACTGCTCTGTGTCTGCTGATGTTGTGTGGCCTTGTGGGAACACACAAGGAGGAGGTGAGACGCCATGTGCCATGTACGAAGGAGCAGGAACTTGTGGTAGCTTTCACACAGTATCTCGTGTGCTCCGTATATGCTGGTCTCAGCTCTGGGTCCCTGTCAGTTAACTTTATCCGCCTGTCTCAGGGCTTCTGTCACTGTGAAGACCACGGCACCTCCTGCAATGGGAAAAACGTCTAATTGGGGTGGCTTACAGTTCAGAGGCTCGGCACATTGTCGTCACGGTGTGATATGGTGCTGGAGGAGGAGCTGACTGTAGGCCGCAGGAAATGATCCGGGATACTGAGAGTGACTTAGGCATAAATGAGACCTCAAAGTCCATCCCACAATGACGAGGTCACACCCACTCCAACAAAGTCACACTTCCTGATAGTGCCACTCCCTTTGAGTTTATGGAGGCCAGTTACATTCAAACCACCACACTTTCCAAGCTTATGAGGTAGGTACTGCCGTGGCCCCCATTTTAGAGGTGGGGACACTGAGCACAAAAAGGGGGAACATGTGCCCTGGGTCGCACAGCTGGGAAGGAAGGAGGCTGTCTCAGGCAGTAGCCGTACTCCCAGCTGGCACCATATGCATGACTCAGCCTCCCCACTGTCTTTGCGCCTGGTGGCTGTGGCGTCTGCATCTCCATCCCCATTTCTTCTTTACTGGTCATTCACCTCCAAAAGAGAGGAGAGAGACGCTGATGGCCAGAAGCCCCTTGGCGCAGTGGCGCTTTCCCTGGGGCGGCCACAAAGGGCTAGGTGAAAAGGTGAACATCGAGTGGACATCTGCCATGCCTGGTCAGGGTCCCCCACAGTGCGGGGGAGGGGGCGGGCAGGACCCTGAAAGGGCAGAGTTGGAGAGCACAGAGCCAAGGGGAGGGGCTTGCATCCTGAGGGTAGGATGCGAGGTGGGATAAGCCTGAGGGTGAAACCTGAGGGGGCGGGGTCTGAGAGGGGTGTGACCCTACCGAGGAGGCGGACAGGGTCCTCAGAGGGCCAGGCTGCCTCCTTACAGATGTCAGGGCAGTGGGGCAGGGAGCTGGTCTGGGGGTCAAAATTAGCTCTGCCTGATGAGCTTGGTAAACCTCTCCTTATCCCCCACCCCATTCCCTTCCACACACCCCACCCGTTCCCCATTATGAGCCTTTGGCCCCCGATTTATGGCTTGGCCCACCCCCCTTAGAGTATTGGGTGGGAACACCATGTTAGTGGAAGAGGATGCCTAGAGCCGCAAGTGTATGGGAACCATACAGGTAGATGGGGGCATGGGGCATCGTGGGCAGTGCCAGGCTGTAGGTTCAGCAGGCCATGCTCAGAATGGTCTTTGGTCGCCATGGTGAGCACTGGAGGGATTACACATGGACCGCTTCCTCTCCATCTCCTGTGCTTCTCACTGCCACCCCACGAACCCCAGCGAGGGGAACCAGAGGCTCCGAAAGGTTATCTGCCTTCCTTGGGGTCACACAGCTCCAAAGTGGTAGAGCTAGGGTTCAAACCTAGGGCAACTTCAGATCCATCTGCTTCCCCAGCCTTCAGGCCCTCTAGGCCTATGTGCCTGGGGCTTGTGCCACCATACTTAAGATGCTACCCTGTCTGCTGGGCAGTGGTGGCGCAGGCCTTTAATCCCAGCACTCGGAAGGCAGAGGCAGGCGGATCTCTGTGAGCTCAAGGCTAGCCTGGTCTACAGAGCGAGTTCCAGAACAGCCAGGGCTGTTAGACAGAGAAACCCTGTCCTGAAAAACAAAACCAAGATGCTACCCTGACTGCCCTTGCCAGTCCCTGGGATCCCTCTGCCTCACCACCCTGCCCTCCTTTCCAGGATGTCGCCACAATGCAGTTCTGTGCCAATAAGTTGGACAAGAAAGATTTCTTCGGGAAATCCGACCCCTTCTTGGTGTTCTACAGGAGCAACGAGGATGGAACGTGAGTCCCCCTGACCCCCCCCCCCCAAGGCACCTGTGCACTGGGCAGGGCCGGGAGAGTGTGGCCACTCCTGAGGCCCCTGCTGTGTGGCGTTGAGGCCCTGATAAAGCCAAGGTGGGGACCTGGCATTGACACTCAGCAATGGTGGGCACTGTGTATGCCTGGGGAGCGTGCAAAAACGGGGTGACAGCAGAAATGTCTCATGCTGCACAACCCAGCCCCTCCCCTCACAGATCTCAGAACACCCTCTAGGATTCCCCTGACTGCGTATCAGACCAGGCAAAGCGGAGACTTTTCCTCACAGCCCCACACTCTACCAAGCAGAACTACCTCAGAAATGTAGGGTTGAAGGACCGTTTTTCCCCTCCTTCTCATTAAGCTAGATCTAAGGGAAACATACCCAGCACGCTGACCAATGTAGGTCAGCAGTACAGAGAAAGACCCTGGGCTAAAGATCTGAGCATTTAGGTTCTCCCCCACCAACCAGCTCTGTTGACCCAGGGCAAGTTAAGTCTCCTCTCTGGGCCTATTTTCTCCTATGCAATGAAGCAGTTGGATGAGGTAATCTCCAGGGTCTCTTTTAGGTAGCCGGTTCTGGGATTCTACAGAAGGCGGAAGTGATGAGGCCAGGAGGGTTAATTGGAGAAACTCCGGGCAGGAAGAAAATGGGTCCTTGGGGTGGAGCAAGGAGCAGAGTGCTGGATGGGCCAGAGAGCCAACCTTGTGCAGAGACAGAGCCCAGCACACACTGGCCCCTTGTGCTGAAGTGCCAGTGTGTGCACGCGTGGTGTGTGTGTGTGTGTGTGTGTGTGTGTGTGTGTGTGTGTGTGTGTTGGGGGCAGGGCAGCAGCAGGCAGGAGGTGTATTTCAGTGCCAGAGAAAACTGATTTTTGAACCTGAACTACTGAACAGGAAATTAGGTGTGATCATTTGCATGACAAAGGGCTTTGTCTCTCTGAGGACTCCCAGCAGGGTGCTTCAAATATTCCCGAACGTTCTGACTTGGCTTTAGAGGTGGGGGTGGGGAAGGGGGAGGAAAAGGCTTGGGTCCTCTACTCTGGTGACCAAGTACTATCCGCTCCCTCTGGAGAGGCTGAGCCCTGGCCCGCAGGGCCCTGATGGAGAGCAGAGGAGTGTTGCGGGGAGGAGAGCGGCGCTGGGAGGGCTGTGTGGGAAGGATCTGGGGTTCGTGACTGTGACTGACACTGGATCGGGTGGGAGGTGCCCAGGCTGAGCTGTGGGTGGGAGCAGGGCAGGGAGGGGGCAGAGGGTCCTCATGGAGACCTGTGGGGACCAAGACCTTTTCCAGGAGGCAGTAGGCACTGCAGGCTACTCCGGCCATCCTGGAGTGGTCCTGCTCTTGTCTTCATGTTAGTGACCCCTCCCCACCCTCCATACCTTCCACACCAAACCAAGCTGCCTGCAGGGCCCTGACCGAGCATTAGTAGGTACAACCCAACAGAACCTTCTAGGATACTCCCTGCCAAAGTGGCCACCTTGTCACTTCGCCTTCAGATGTGAGGAAATATCCTGACCAAAGCTACTTAAGGACGGCTCTGTCTTGGGTCACAGCTGGAAGGTCCATCAGGGCAGCAGGAGCTAGAGGCAGTCGGGAAGTGGAGTGTGCAAGTCTAGGAAATTGTGTGTGTGTGTGTGTGTGTCTGAGTGTCTCTGTGGATGTCTGTGTGTCTGTCTCGGCTGTGCATGTGTGTCTGTGTGTCATCTTTCTCTGCCTGTGTGTGTCTGTGTCTATGTGTGTGACTATGTGTGTGTGTGTGTGTGTGTGTGTATATCTGTATGATCTGTGTCAGAAGATACCTTGTGCGAGTTGGCCCTCTCTCTTCATCATCCTGGTCCTCGGGATTAACTCGGGCCATTAGACAAGTGTCTTTACCCACTGAGCCATTTCTGCAGCCCTACCCATTCTTCTTATATTTTGCCACTAAAGGACACTCGGGAAGGCTTGCCTGGGATGCACAGCTGGCCCTAGGACTGGGACTCACATCTGTCTGACACTCTCCTACACCCATGCTCCATCTGCAGGGACCACTTGGCACAGTGAGCGTGGTACCTGCCAGGCAGGTACAGCAGGGGAGCTGAGAAACCTATGGAGCTGATGGTGGAGTTTAAAGGAAGTGGTTTTCAGCTGGTACCTGGGACAGAACAGAGACCACCCAGGCTCCAGGAAGGAACATGGAGGAGGGAAACAGGGCTGGGCGCTTAGGAGACCCGCTTGTGGTCAGGAAGGATAGAGGTCTATGTGGGAGGACCGAGGCAGCTGGGTGAATGTTCCTGGGTAGATTCCTGAAGCCCAGGGGGCCTCTGCAGTCTGGGTCCCCACCATCAGCTGCTTCATGCCTCTCTGTTGCCCTCAGCCACCTGCCCCAGCCCAGGCATTGGGCTCCTCCTGCCCAATGCCCATCCCCTCCTCCAGCTAGGGTTAGCTGCAAGGTCTCCCACGTGGATCTCACACTCCAGTGGGTGGGCGTGGAAGAGCACAGAAGAGAAACGCTCAGCCTGGTGACAGGAGTGACATTTTGACTTGAAAATTGCTGAAGAAGAAACAGTACAGGCTGTGTGGGCTCGGGAGGGGTACTGGCGCTTCCTGGTGACCTTTCAGAGCTGGAATGTCTCTGGGGTGGGTGCCCAGAGAGCTTTGCCCATCGTGAGGCAGGGCTGTTCCTGACATAGGTGGCTAGCATGGCAAGGGGAGTGGGCAGGACACCGTGGCAGGAGCAGCAGAGACAGCCCATCTGCACAGTTAACAAAGCAGGTGCTTGGATTCCAGCTGGAGGTACTCAAGGGTGTAGGGTGGCCCAAGGAGAGAGGGTTTTGCGTCCACCAGACTGGAAAGCCTGCTGTGGACTGGCTCCCCAGATGCACAGCTCCTGCTTTCCTGCCTAGCTCCTCCCCAGCCTTTTTTTGACAGTGTCTCACAGTGTAGCCTTGGCTGGCCTCTGCCTTCCAAGTGCTGGGTCCAAAGGTGTGAGCCGCCATGCCTGGAGGCTCTTTTTTACTTTGTTTTTTTCTCGTTGTGTTTCAGCAGACCCTGGGGCTGCTGCAGGTAGAGCTCCCTGGTAGGAAGCATATACTACTGAACAAGGCCCCGCCCTCATCAGTTCCTTTTAAAATATGACCAGAAGCCAGAGGTAGTAAGAGAAACACTGTCTGGAAAACCAACAACAACAACGAAAATATGACTTGGGGCTTGAGAGATGGCTCAGCCATTAAGAGCATCTACTGCTGTTGAAGGAAGTTTGGATTTGGTTCCCAGCAGCCGCGCTGGGTGGCTCCTTATCACCTGCATCACCGTTCTAGGAGAGCCCACATCCACTGCTGCCCTCCACAAGCCATTGCAAATATGTGGTACATAGAAACTACCTCAGGCACATACAGAATAATTTTTGATTTGTTGTTTGTTTTTCTAGACAGCCGTTGGCTGTCCTGGAACCAGGAACTGCAGATCAGGCTGGCCTCAAACTCACAGAGATCCCCCTGCCTCTGCCTCCCCAGAGCTAGGGTTGAAGGCATGCGCCACCGCACCTAGCTACTTTTTTTTTTTTTAAATGGTTGATAGCTACACATGGTGGTAATACTCGGAATCCCAGCACAAGAAAGGCAGAGGCAGAAAGATCCGACGTTCAAGTCCATCCTAAGTGATGGGAGATCCTATCACAAAGAAACAAAGAAATAAAAGATGACTGACTGCCTACTACCGCAGCCATCGTTCTGGGCTGCATCAGGAACACCCTTAGTTCTTGCGGACCTTCAATTTCACTAACAGATCGTGACAGAATGTTTGAGAGAACTAGACCATGTCAGATGGTGACCGATGAGACAGGAAGGAGAAGCCTGGCAGGGAAGAGATCACGGGCTGTGACGGTCAGGGTTTGTGCATTCCAGACATAGCGGTTGCAGAAGTCCTGGGGGTGATGTCTGGCTGGGAGTACAAAGATGGAGCCAGGGAATGGAGGAGGTGTCCCAGGGTGGAGACAACAGGCACACACTTACATACACCCACCCATCTAGCCCTGAGGTTCAGCTCCCGGGTTCCCGGGAAAGGAACTGCCCAGAGAGAAAGGGTTTGGTCAGAGTTGCACGGTAGCTAGAACTCAGGCCCCTGACGCTCCCCGCTCGATGCACTGCTCCAGTCAGGGCCCTGCTTCCCTCAGGAACTTCTCTGCTGTGCCATCTTGTGTGGCTATGGCTGCTGGGGGTGGCTCCTTCTGCACAAGTCAGAGAAGGCTGCGACACTGGTCATCTGAGCCTCAGGCCTGACGCCTTTCCCTCGATTCTTCTTGGCCAGGTTCACCATCTGTCACAAGACCGAGGTCATGAAGAACACCCTCAACCCAGTGTGGCAAACCTTCTCCATCCCGGTGAGGGCCCTGTGCAATGGGGACTATGACAGGTGAGATGAAGAGCCTGCTCCTCAGGGGGGGAGCGTGCGGGTACCTGGGATGCCCTGCTCTGGAGTCAGGATCCCAAGGACAGTCCCAGCCAACCTGGTGGGCATCAGTGAGGGGTGAGGGCGGGAATGACAAGATTTATGAAATGTTTCATCATATTGCAGGCAGGCTGTCCTCTTCCTCATCCTCGTGCATTGGTACCAGTGCCCGAGTGAGTTCTGCCCCTGACTAAGGGAGCAGTCAGCCCAGGCAGGCTCTCACCTGTCAGTCTCCTGACTGACTGTCCTTCCCGGAAAGATGAGCCTGGGAATCCTGCTGCCCTCCCAGGGCTCACAGGAGGCCAGCAGAAGGAGTGATAACATCACAGTCAGCATCCCCATCCCCTCTGCTCCTTTCCTGAGCCCCTGCCACGTGCTAGATCTAACTGGGAAGTCAGCTGGGAGCAAATGTGCCCACTTCACCCTCTACCCAGCGTCACGGAGCTTAAGTGTTCGTGGAGGAGGCAGACATTAATCCAGTAATCATACAGAGAAACATGTCATTATCCACTGCAGAAGGTTCTGGAGACAGCAGGGGGGCAGGTCGGATGGGAGCCATGAGAGAGTTTTGGTTTTCCTGAAGTCACCTAAACACTGGCTGCAGAAGTGGGGTGTCTGCTCCCACAGAAGCCCTGGGGCATCAGAACAGACTCCTTGGGGTACACTGGGACTCTGCACAGGGTTTCCAAGGGTATATGTATGGGGGTGGTGAGTGGATGGATGGCCTCCTGGTGCCTGTTTCCCTCCAGGGACACTTTTAATATTTGTTTTTTTCAATTCATTTTACATTCCAACCAAGATTCTGCCTCCCGCCCCTCCCCCCAACCACTCCTCCCAACAGGTAAGGGCTCCCATGAGGAGTCGACACAGTTTGGCACATTAATTTGGGGCAGGACCAAGCCCCTCACCTCTGCGTTAAGGCCAAACATGGCATCTCACCATAGATCATGGGTTCTAACAAGCTAGCTCCTGCACCAGGGATAGAGCCTGGTCCTAGCGCCAGGGTTCCCACAGAGGCCCCACAGCTGTCTGTCCAGAGTTTATGATTTTCCACGAACTTGGTTCAGCTGTCTCTGTAGATTTCTCCATCATGATCTTACTCTCACTTGTTCATGGATTCCCTCCTCGCTCTCTTTGACTGGATTGCCAGAGTTTGGCCTGGTGCTTGGCTGTGATCTTTGCATCTGGTTTCATCAATGCCTGGACGAAGGCTCTGGCTTCTCTGCCCTCCGGGGACACTAACAAGAGCTCGTCTAAAATGCAAGGTGGCTCCCTTTTGTCCTCTTGCCTGGGACAGAAACACAGCAGTCTGTTCCCTAGGTATTCAGTGTCTTATTGCCCAGCACCGAGTCCCTGACTTTGTGGCATGCAAGGACAGGTGGCTGTCTCTATCTTCTGGGACCTCCTGGTCTGACCATGGGAGTGCAGACATACACAAGTTCTGGAGACAGCTAAGTAATCGTTGCAGAAGGAACTGGGGCCCAAAGTGAATGTTGTCAAACAAGCCCCTGCTGACACCTGGAATTGGGAAAGGGACAACTGGGGACAGCTGGAAGGTTGGGGGTGTGGGTACTGGGCAAGGGGCCTGGAAAGGATGGAGAGCCTGGAGAAGATGGGAGGGCAGGCGGGACAGTCTCATAAACCTGCCTCGCCAGGGAGGGGCTCCCGGGCTCCAGCTGTATCATGAGGGTGCCTGGGCTAACCGCTGTCCCCTGGAGGAGGCGAGTGGTGGGAAGAGCAGACAGGCCCGAGCCCAGCTCCATCTTCCTCCAGGGTGGCTGGCTCTCCTTCTCCACGGCCGGGCACAGATTGACTCTCCGGGCACAGATTGACTCTGACATGATTGGCGGCAGAATTAATTCAGGGGCCAGCGTGTCTGGCTGACCCACCCTGGCCTGGAATTGCCCCAAGCTCCCTAAGGAGGTGCCATGTCGGAGGCCACTGTCCCTCTCCTGTAGGCTCTCTGGCAGACTCAGAACAGGGTGTCGCTTTGATGGGTACTTTGGGGGCCCACTGACTTCTCAGGTTGCCCCAGGCCGGTGGGGAGTCCATTCATCCTCCCGGCAATCCGGGATGGCTTCCAGCATGACTGCGCTTCATAGGTGAGAAGATGAGTCCCAGAGAGGGCTGGGGGCCGTCCAGCATTGTGCTTCCAGCCATGCTGGAGAGAGACACAGGAGTTGGTGCTGGCTGGCTCTAAAATCTTTTCCTAAATGGACATGACACAGTGTGGCAGGGCATCTGGGGAGGCTCAGAGAACTTTGTTCAGAGATGAGGGGCGTGAACTCCGGGCACCTGAGATGGGGACACCTCGGTGAGGTCATTTCAACCCTTAAAGCATTTCAAGGTCCTTTTGGCATCAATCTCAGATGGTTCGGAGGGGAGTGGGAGCAGGGAACGGCAAGAAGGTTCAAAAGGCCTTGTTATCTGTCTGGCAGGCATGTGCTATGCTCTCCCTTGGCAGTCCGTGCCTCCAAGAGTGGTGCCGAGTGACGGGAGTGTGACGAGGCCAGACCCCTTCTGAACACACTGGGTCTGAGCAGGATTTGGTTTGGTTTTGTGTCACAGCCCGTAGGCAACCCACAGCCAGTTTGGAAAGAACAATCCTAGGTTAGGGAAGTTGTGTTTGGAGAGGAGCTGTCACAGCTGCCGCCGCCATGATGCTAATCCTGGGACGTGAGTGTCTGAAGGCCAGGCACAGCTCACAGGGGAGGAGTCAGAGACCAGTCAGTGAGGCCACAGGCCCAGAGCCATGAAAAGAAGGTGGGGTGGGAGACAAGAGGCTGAGGAAGGGCCGCTCGCTACCAGGGAGCTAAGCAAGGCAAACATAGTGGAAGGCTGGGTGTCTGCTGAGAGAGTACAGTATCCCAGAATGATGGGGTAGAAGCAGTTCATGCTGTTAAAATTATAGGATACTTAGGATGTGGATCTCACTGGTCTCGATTGGCTTATACACGTTTTCTTACATCGTGAGAAATAACCTTCGGAATCTCCCTCATGATGTGCCCATTTCACAGATGGAGGGTCAGAGTCTGTGTCAGAGCGAGACAGTGCCTTCCCTTCTGTAGATGCCACCTCTGGGCTCATCCCTGGTCTGGCGTCCCTCTTACCACTTTCCTGTGTGTCTCCTTTCCCAAACAAAGCCAAACCCGAATGGCCCAGCTGAGCAGAGCTCAAGTCAAAGGAGGTGGTAGGATCCGAACCCCTCCAGCCCTGGGGTGGCAGACAAGGCCCAGGGGACAAGAAGCCCTTTCCCTGGTGTTCCCAGACTCTGTCCTCTGTCTTAGCATTCGGTGAGTTGAGAATTTCTGTGATTAAACCAGGTTCAGCCTGGGTTAAGCTGCTGTTATCCCCTCACACCATGACAGTGAGCATACACACTGTACACATGGGAACTAAGGTGCTGAGAACTCACCTGAGCTGAGAGTATTCCAACACTGGCCGCTTGCCTCTGTTGGAGCCACTAAACACTGAGGGTGGCGCAGGGAGTGGCCAGGCAGGGCCGCCTTATCAGCCCCGTGTAGCACTAAAGCGCTGGTTTTGAAAAGGACAGTCCATACCCAACTCCCTGTGATGTTGGTGGAGGCCTGTTCTTTCCCTCACTACAGTTTCTCTCAGGGTATCTGCTAGGGGAGAGATAAGCCTTGAGGGTCTGTCAGCCCTAGGGCCTTGTGAACGTGGAAACACCTCTTCTCCTGCCCTGAACCTCCATTCTTACTGCCATGGTCCAGAGGGGACTGCAGTATATTGTAACAGGCATTCTATGGGCCAAATCATGACATGGGGACTTAGTCATGAATGCTCGGCCTTATCTATGTCCCACTAGCTCTTATAACTTCGATTAACCTGTTTCTCTTCATCTATGTTTTGCCTCGGGCCTTTTTTTTTTTTTAATCTTTCATTCTGTTTGTCCTGTTTTCACTACTTCCTCCATGTCTGACTGGCTGGCTCTGGGGCATTTCCCTCTTTCTATCTCTTCCCTAGCCTAGATTTCTCCTACTTATTCTATTCTGCCCACCAGTCCCTCCTAAACCTCTAATGGTTAGCTATTGGCTATTTAATAGACCAATCAAGTACCTTAGGCAGGCAAGGTGAACCAGCAACACATCTTTACATAATTAAACAAATGCAGTGTAAACAAATGTAACACACCTTTACATGTTAAATGAATGCAGCGTAAACAAATGTAACACACCTTTATATGGTTAAAGTAATATTCTGCAATGCAAACAAATGTAACACACCTTTACATTGTTAAACAAACGCAGTGTAAACAAATGTAACACACCTTTATATGGTTAAACAAATGCAGTGTAAACAAATGTAATACACCTTTATATGGTTAAAGTAATATTCTGCAACATAAACAAATGTAACACATCTTTGCCTAGTTAAAGTATTACTCCACAACAGTGTATACTATGGAGCTCATGGAGGAGGCCTGGAGATTTCACCTGCTTTCCTACCCTGTCCATCTCTGATGTGACTTGGTGGTTCCAGTGTCAGGGGACTGGGACACTGACTCCTGATTTTCCACTCTGAGCGTGCTCTGATGCCTCCTTGGGTGTTTTTGTGAAGCCGGAGAACATTATGACATAGTCTGTTCACAGAGGTGTCAGGCCACCCCTGCCAGCTGGCAAGTGTTCGTTATGTGCCTCCTATCTGCCAGGCACCTTTCTAGAAGCCAAGCCTATGACAGTGAGCAAAACCAATAATCTCTGAGCCATGGAGGATGTTCTCACAAACAATAGGATTGTCTGGCGACAAAGAAAAGCTTGAGTTGGCCGACAGAGACAGAGATACGTGTCGGTGCCTGCAGGGTGGCTGGAGACAGCACCTTCACAGAGCCAAGAACTGTCCCAAAATTTACAGAGGAACAGAGTCCCCCAGGGTGGAGCCATCAGGGCTACGCAGACAGCACCTGCAGGATCTGGGGCACTGCCCTGGGCTACTGTCCCCAGAGCAGTGCCTTCCCTGCCCTTCTCACAGCCACCCCTGGGACTCTGAGTTCTCAGCCTGCTTGTGCCAAATGAGATGGTTTTATGGGCCACTGTGGTCTGTTTTCTTGTCCCTTACCCACAAGCTCATTTTCTCGGATCTTATGGCTAAGTCACAGCCAGTCTAACTTTAGCTTGCAGAGCCTAGGCCCAGAGGTTCCAAGTCCCATCTGCTGTGACCTGGGCTTGCAACAGAGTGTAGACAGTGACAGCCAGCTTCTCTCCAGGCCTTCTTGTACCTGGAGCTGCTCCCTGGGGGCCGTTTTTCACTTTCTTCTCTGCCCAGGCTCAGCCTGGAAATATGGCCTCTGAACTCGGCAGACCCTCCCAGGCCACAGCAGCCCAGAAGCCTAGGTTGAGGCCAAACCGGCACCCAGGGATCTCACAGCCATTCTCAGCTGCCATTCCCACCCCCTGGGGAACTTCTAGCCACCACCTCGCCCACACTGCACCCTGGACCTGCCGATTCTAGATCAACCAGGGTGAGATCCCTGTCCTGAAGAGGCCAGTGGCTCTGCAGCATGCTGGGGCGGCTCGGAGAAGTTTGCAGAGCCATTCACAGCCAAAATCGCAACCAATGAAATATTTCAGGCCCTTCAACTCTGAGGTATAATTGTTTATTACGTGTGTATATTTACTGGTGGAGGAGGAGGATGCTGGACCATGGTACACCTGTGGAGGTCAGAGGTCAACTTTCAGGCATCAGTTCTTTCCTTCTACCATGTGGATCCCAGGGATCAAACTCAGGGTGGCAACTTTGACCCCAGTGTCTGTCCACAAAGCTCTCACCACCACACATCTGGTACCTCCTTCTGTGTTCTGTGGGACAACGGTTCCTGTCACCAGGGTAGTCCATTTCCCAAAAGTGTTAGGGGGCCTCTACCAGCTACAGGACTTTTTCATTTGGTTGTTGGTTTTTTGTTTGTTTGTTTGTTTTTGTTTTTTGTTTGTTTGTTTGTTTGGAGTCTCATTATGTAGCCATGGCTGGCCCAGAGCTTGGTATATAGACCAGGCTGACCTCCAACTCCTAGAGATCTGCCTGCCTCTACCTCCCGAGTGCTGGGGCCACCACAAGGGGCTTAGCTGCAAGACTGAAGGACAGTTTTCTCATTAATTTCCCAAAAGTACTTTTGTTGATACCAAGGACTGTCACCATAACTAAGATAGCTTCTGGACATAGGATTGTCACTTACCTCATCTCCCAAGAGGCTGGTGGCCAGAGGATAGGTTTCTCCTACCAGAGTCTCTGAAGGTCTCTGTGGTGAGCTGGGAGACTAAGAAAATGGTAGCTGTAACTAGCCAAGCAGGGAGCCTCCCTTCAGCCTCACAGGCAGGGCTGGAAGGCAGGGACCTGCACTTGTCTTCACGACTGGGTGGCTCTGGGCAGTCATAGTGTTGTACCCTTAGGGCTCTGCTTCATCCTGTGAAAATGAGAAGTAGAGGCCATCAGCACAGGCCACCTAGTCACCGGTGTCCTCCAAAACCTCAAGCTTTGAGAATGGCGGACTGTGTGGACTCTGGCCAAGTGGTCAGACTTAGATACCACTGAGGTCACTTCCAGCCTTGTCAATCTGGGAGCCAGAAATTGCAAAGTCTAGGAGCCCAGGCTCCTCAAATGTCCTCTGATTTAAGTATCTATCTATCTTCCTTTCTTCCTTCCTTTCTTCCTCCCTCCCTCCCTTCCTCTCTCTCTCTTTCTCTCCCCCCCTCTCTCCCTGTCTCTCTCTCTCCCTCTCTCATTTCCTCTCTCCCTCCGTCTCTCCCTCCCTTTTCTCCTTTTCCAATCCAGGGTTTCTCTGTGTAGCATGCTCTGTAGATCAGGCTGGCCTCAAACTCAAGAGATCCGCCTGTCTCTGTCTCCTGAGTGCTGGGATTAAAGGTGTGCACCACCACTACCCAAGCTTTAAGTAAATTTCATATGAAAAGGCATTCATGCATGGTTAGATGAAAATGTGGAATCAAAAGGCATTTCCTAGACCCCACCACTACCACCACACACATACAGAGCAAGCTGTTTATTCTGTGAGGCCCTTACTATCTCCATTTTACAGTCAGGGCTTGTGGCTTGGGAGGAATACCACCCCAAGGCCCCACAGGTGAGTCGAGTTTCCAAGTCGAAGACACCAGTGTCACATCTGGCCTCTTTCCAGCACCTTCAGAAGCTCAGGCGTGCCGACATCAGTCTCTACTTAAACATAATAATCTGGCTCAAGGAATCATGGGGTTTGTTTTCGTAAGACAAGAAAGCGAAGGATGCAGCTAAACCATGCTTCAATAGCTGCTTCATATTATTTCATTTACAGAAAGCTAACTCATGCATAACCTTCCGGGCATCCCAGGGTTCTATTCTGGAACTTTCTTCTGCCCCATTCTATGAATCTGTGCCCTGCCCTCCCACCCCCACACGGAGCCTGAAAATACTCATCTGAAAGGAGACAGCGCCCCCTTCTGGGAGCTGCAGAACTCCCAAGCCGACTTCTGGCAGGGCCAAGATGGACCACACCACGGGTGGGATAGATGTTACTAGAAGAGAAACCAGTTCAAATTGCTTTGTGCATCCTAGATGGAGCTCAAGACCAGAAACCCCTGCTTCTGGGCCTCTCTCACCTGCCCTAGACCCTGTAGGTGCTGCCTGGCAGCTCCCGCATGCCTGGGCATCCCAGAGGACAGAGCAGACAGCACAAGGGTTAACCGGCAACCCTCCACCTCCCTCCTCCTGCTTCTGGTCCACTAGCCTGTTGCTATGGGAACACTGCTAAAAATAAGATGGGCTCTTAAAACCCAGCCCCATGCTTAGGAGTCAAAACAAACTAATTAAAGCAGCCTGGGCTAGAATGTGAAGAAAATCACACCGTTTCTCAGGGGTGGGGAGCTCAGGGCCCAGGGGTCCTGCCTTGACCTGCAGGGTTGGGGCTGGCTCTTCACCACCCATATCCCCGCATTCATGATTCTCCCCGCCAAGCTATCTTATGACCCTCTCTAATAGAAGCTTCCCTGCCTCCTTGTGAGAGCTGCCCCCTCATGGCCCTGCCACAGGTAAATGTCTAGTTTGGCTTCCTGCCAAGGCTTCTACTCCATCCAGGGAAGCCAAGAAGATGGGTAAACAGAGGCCTGAGGCCACTTCAGCCAGTTCTCGAGATCTCAAGATGGCTCACCATAGCTCGTGGTGGCCTTCGGCCCTAAGATCTTTGCTTAAAGGTCTCAAGATGGGTCCCTGGACTCTCTTGGGTTACTTCCCTTCCACAGAGGCTCAGAATGTGGAGGGAGTGCCTGCCTGTGTGCATCCCTCCTGGCCCATCTGTCCTCAGGCCCATCCTATCCAGGGTTCTCTGTTTGTTTTCTAGGACCATCAAGGTGGAGGTTTACGACTGGGATCGTGATGGCAGGTAAGGGCAGGGGCTGAGAGGTACGGAGGAAGGTGAGTAGACAGACCTAGAGAGCTCTGGGGAAACTGAGCCAGGCCCCTCTGGGTACTCTGGGAATGAGTGGCCAGAATCCACACAGGAGGGCCTGCCATCACGGTAGCTTAGCTCCGAGCAGGTCCTGCGGGGCAGAGTGCCTGAGAGCCCTCCTTTCCCCCACATGGCTGCCAGGAGCCAGCCCTTGCCTGCACCCTCCTCACATGAAGAATGGGGATGCTCTGGAGCACTCATGTTGTAAGACATTGAACATTCGCGTGCGCCTCCTTTCTCCCCGCGTGGCTAGGCGCTGAGGAAGGCCAGGCAGTAGAGGATGCACTGGAGGCCCAGAGATGTCCCACAGTCTAGCAGAGGGTCACTGCAAACTTAGAGAGTAGACGTAGGTCTAAGAGAATCACTGTAGGGACAGCGGCAGCGGGGTGTTCTGAGGCACAGGAAGGACTAGGCAGTATCTAAGGAGGGCTGGGTCTGGCCTGCAGGAGGGGTGACTTCTGTTTGGGGACTGAGGGGTAAGTGGCTGGCAGTTTCTAGACGGGACAAGAGCAGGAATTCAGCACCCTCGCTGTCTCCCACTTGTCTGTTGAACCAAATACGGACGTAGCCTGGCTTCTTGTGGCCACTTCTTGCTGGGGCATTCCCGAAGGGTGGTCACAGTTGGCGTCTCCCAGATCTGATATGGGCTGCAGGCGGGGGTTGTGCATATTATAAAAGGTGCTGGGCCCTAGAAGACTCTCCAGTGCCCCTCCCTACCTTTCCCATCCCTTCCAGCTGACAGGATCAGCTCCGCACGCTTCTAACCCTATTTGTCTTATTCCCTCATAGACATATTTCTCCTTTACCTGGGAACTAGGGACAGCCACCATGGCCTACAAAGTCCTCCCGTCCACCTACCATTCCCAGAAGTCCAATAGTTGTGAGTCTGTGGACAACACTGTGGGGCTAGGGGTGTAGCTCAGTGGTAGTGCCATCACCTAGCATCTGCGAGGCCCTGGGTGCCATCCTGTACTAAAACTAAATAAATAAGCTCTTGGGGCTGGCAGATGGCTCAGTGGGCAAAGATACTCACAGCACAAGCCTGACAGCCTGAGTTCTATCCAGGAAACCCGCATAAAGGCAGACAGAGAACCAACTCCACAAAGTTGTCCTTTGACCTCCATATTCACTTGTGGTTCGAGCACACACACACACACACACACACACACACAAAACCATTAGAATTAAATAACCTCCTCAAACTAAAGTGTATATATCTCTGATAGTGTCATAATGAAATCCACTACTTTGTATAACTTAAAAAATCAAAACTAACAAAAACTACTGTGAGCTCACAGCAGGGCATGGCTCCAGGACACGGGTGCTCCAGCCGGATGCCCCAGCTAGAGTGCCAAGCGCTGAATTCTAGCAAGGACTCAGGAGTGGAGGGAGGGCTGTTTTGTGGAAAGTCTTGATGTGTTTAATATAAATACACTCTAGAAAAGACCCCTGCCACCTGGTTGAATGTAACGTTAGCGTGTGGCTCAGAGGCAGAGCCTCTGTTCAAGACTCATGGTTCCATCCCAGCGCCTGAGGAAGGTTGGGAAAGATCCAACTGTGGCTTCCTGCACCTCTCATCTCCACAGTTCAGGAGTCTGAGGTGCGAGGATTGAAGCTTGAGATCAGCCTGGGCAATACAATGGGGAGGAATCATCAAATGAACAAAATAACAAGTCAGTGGCCATATAGTGGCCATCCCTGTCATCCCAGCACTCTGGAAGTAGAGACAGAGGGGTCAGGAGTTCAAGGTCATCATTGGCTACACAACCAAACTGGGATACCCAAGACCACGTCTCCGAAAGCCCAAAATTGAAATAAATAAGAACAGTAAATTTTTATATAATAAAGGTGTGGCCCAGTGGCCACACCATTAATGCCAGCACTCAGGAGGCATTGGCAGGTGGAACTCTGGGAGTTCTAGGCTAGCCTGGTGTACATTAGAAAGTTTCAGGCCAGCCAGAGCTCCATAGCAAGACTGTGTTAATGGAAACCTGTCTCAGCAGGGAGGAGGTAATGAATGCCTTTAACCCGTCATCTGAATTTGACAATTGTTAGATTTCACTATTTGCCTTATCTATATTTTACTAATGTAATTTAAAGGAAATTCCATCGAGGCTTTACCCCTAAATATTTCATTAGACATGTCTAAAAAATAAGCACATTTCCCCCACGTAACTCTGAATACCATTATCCCACCTGACATATTGAGCGGTAATGCGTGACTGCCATCCACCGTTCACTCCGCAGTGACTGTCCCCAAATGCCCTTTCCTGCTAACTCATTTAAGTAAGAACCAAGCAATCCTGCATCTCCTTCCTCCAGGATCCTGTCTTCTGCCAAATGGCTCTCTTGGTCCATGAGTAACAGAGAGTTCCCTTCCCACATTGGGTTCTCTGTGGCTTGGATTGGAGGCCCTAGCAGAATGGGAGCAGGGGCAGGCTGTGGGAGAGGCTAGGATGAGTTAAGGCATTCATAGCCTGGGCCTCCAGTCTCAGCAGCCTCTTCCTTTGCAGCCACGACTTCATTGGGGAGTTCACCACCAGCTACCGAGAGCTGGCGCGGGGCCAGAGTCAGTTCAACATCTACGAGGTGAGCCAGCTGCACCGGGGTGGGATCTGCTCTCATAGGGGGTCCGGGTTATGACAGAAGGACATGGGAGCTCTGAGCTGGGGACTTCCATGTTGTCTCATAAGGTGAGTTTCATGTTCCCATTTCACAGAGCCCCCCAGACACACACGCCTCCACACAAAGCTAAAGTCTCTAACTTCCAAGTCCTTGAGCTACACCGCCCCCTACAGAACACTCCTCACCAGGGAGGGGGCAGTAAGGAAGTCTAGGGGTTGGAGGAATAGTTCAGTAGATACATACACACACACACACACACACACACACACACACACACACACGAGCATTAGGAAGAAAGAGAAAAGAGGCCGTGAACCAAGACCTGAAATTCTGACTTCAGAGTGGCCCCGTGTCTTCAGACAGTTTGTGGGTCTCTGGAGAGTCAAGACTGTGTGAGAGAAAGCTCTCAGCAGTCAGCACCTCGTGTCCAACCCTGAAGCCACCTTGGAGGGACGCACTGCTAGGCCAGCGTTGTGCGGGCACTTCCCTGGATCCAGCCCCCCGCTGACTCACCAGCCAGGCCTCCTCCCACCATCCATGAGAGGCCTCAAGCTCCAAGCCCTCAGGGTCATCACCAACATTACCATCTTCCTCCTGAGCTTGCCAACCTCAGTCCGCCACCATCCTCTCCACGGTGTGGGCTTTGCTGTAGCTTTGTGGTTCTTCCATTCTTCTCAGTGACCAGAACGCTCTGGGTGTGGCCCACAGGCGAGGTGCCCTGCAGCCCCGTGCTGCCCTGAAATGAGCTTCCATCCACATCCCCACTCCCTAATGTGCCAGCTTTAAAGTCATGGCAGGTCTCTGTGCGGAGCTGGCGTGCTACGAGGTAAATGACCCCGCTGCAGCCTCCAGCTCGGCCTTCACCATGACTGAGCCCCACTGACCTGTAGAAGGAAAGTGTGCTCCTGTGGATAGAGGCAAGCTCCATGTCTGTCTGAGCGGCGAGCTGCCTTACTTCCGGCTGTCAGTCACTTCTGCCCTCTGAGGCTGTAGTCCTCCGTATAACCTCATTTTTGTAGCTGCCCCCCCAAGAACTCCCCCACCACCACCACAATATCTGTAGTCCCCGGAGACCTTCTCAAATGCTCCCTCCAGGAAGTCATCTCCACCTTTGTAAGTCTCTACCACACACCGCCCCTCCCCCATAGTGTGCCTGGGCCCCTTCCAAGACCACGAGGTCCTCAGAGGTGGGGTCATTGATTCTGAACTCCCAATAACCTGGTGCACAGGCAAGCTGATTTCAAAATGGGAAAAGTAGCCTGTTGGAGTGAGCCAGTTCCTGATAGTGTCCCTAGGGGGCTCTCTGTCCCTGTGTGGAACCTGGCAGTCACTTGTGGCTAGAAAGGAGGTTCTGGGGAATCCCAGGAGCTCTCAGAGCAGACAGGGGCCAACTCATTATCCATTCAGATCTGACGCCAACTGTTGCTTTAACGTAAACGAGACATGTCAGAGAACAGAAATGTGACTACGTGTTCATTTAAAGGTAGTGCTAAGACATGTATCGGACGTGGTGGTGTGTGTCTGTGTGGTCCCACCACTCAGGAAGCTGAGGCAGGAGGAGCGTGAGTTCAAGGCTAGCCTGGGCAACGTGGTGAGACCCTGTCTCAAAAACAGAAAGCAAAATACAATGAAACAAAGGGGTAATATAAAGAAATCCACACCCCAAGTCCGATTACACACCTCCCCCTCTGCTGAAGGGAGATCACAGAGCACATTTGGTTCCAGTTGGTCAAACACTGTAGTGCAGTGTAGAGGCCTCAACTGTCTGGCCATCTGGGCAGCCAGGACCCTATGGTGCAGTAGAACAAGGTTGCTCCGTGGCTAGAGACGCACTTCCTGGTGATTCAGCTTCTCAGACTTGACCTCAGTCCCACCTGCCAGCCCTGCCGTTTGAACCTGTCACTCATTCACCAGATGACAGCCCTGTATGTCTGCATCACTAGCCTGGACACAGGTTTATAATCCTGTGTCTATCCAGGTGGCTGTGTGGCCTTGAGCGGCACCTGCCATCTCTGTGGGTATCAGTCCCAGTTAGACCAAGCATACCACAGTCAAAGGAGTCAGCCGAAGGTGGCACACGCCTTTAATCCCAGCACTCAGGAGGTAGAGGCACTCGGATCTCTGTGAGTTCAAGGCCAGCCTGGTCTACAGAGTGAGTTTCAGGACAGGTTCCAAGGACAGAGAAACCCTAATTCAAACAAACAAACAAACAAAGACACATTGAAGGCCCCCAAAGGGGGCATGAGCCATGCAAGGAAGGGGCATGAGTTCAGGAGAAGCCAACAGGTGACTGCGTGGGTGGGAACTGCCCTGTTCTGTTGATGAGAAACCAGAGACAGCCCAAACTTCCCCTGTTGAGCATGGGGACAGAGAGTGGCCTGTGGCTCACCAGGACAAAGTGGTCCTCCTCCTGGCCCCTGGGGTTCTCCAGCATTGGTAACGACTACAGCTGGGTCATGGCTGAGGGGCAGCATCCTGACCTCCCCTCTCTCCCCAAGTGGTGACAACATCTACAGACTTTACCAGATGTCAAGGGTGTCACTGGCTGTCACTAGTGGAGAGCAGAGTCATCCCAAGTCATTACTGAGCCTACCGCACAGGGAGGAGGGGGCAGCCATGGGAGGAGCAAATCATGTTTGGAAGTGTCCTACTGTGGGTCAGGGTGGTAGCCCAGAGCCAGGCTCAGCGGCTCGGGATAGCCCTGAGTGGGAGCCCCAAGGAGAATGGGGAAGGCAGGGCTGAGGCAAGACAGGTGTGTGGGGTGACAGAGCAACCCAGCCGGCGCAGGCAGGCGTGGGCAGAGCTGTCTTACAACACCCAGCTGCTCTGGGCGGGTTTGAGGGCCTTGGAAGACAAAGCTAAAGAAACTGGCCCAGTGTCTCGAATCCTGGGACACAGGGTTAGCGACGACTCCCAGCTTCCAGCATCCCACAAGGCCTGGCAAAGCCCTTCCAGCTGCAGTCACACCCGGTACCCTGCTGGGCTGGTGCCCAAGTCACACCCAGGGCTGGTGGGAGCCCTGAACCTTCCCTGACTTAACTTTCCCCTATAGGTGATAAACCCAAAAAAGAAAATGAAGAAAAAGAAATATGTGAATTCTGGCACGGTGAGTAGCCCGCCCCGTTCGCCCCCCCCCCCACTTCCCCACCCTATCCCAATCGTAGTGGGCGCTGGCACTCAGGGGTCTGACCCAGGGGAGTGGATATCAGAGAGCCATCAACCTGGGGGG